CGCTGGCCGCGGTGCTGAAGCTGCTGGCGCTCCCGCAGCCGCCGCCGCCGCCGCCGCCGCCGCCGCCGCCGCCGCGTTCCCCGGGCCCGGCGCCTCCACCCCCAGGGGCATGGGGGGTCGCTGACTGAGGCTCCGCCGCGGCGGTGGGGGGGGAGGGGAAGGGGGCCGCGGAGCCGGGCCAGCCCTGCACCCACTCGCAGCCTCCGGGCCCGGGACGGAGCCGCTCCCCCCTTCCCCACCCCCCACCCCCCGGCCTCCTCCCCCGCCTGTCCAGGGGCGGCACTGCGGGCTGGGAAGCCGGGACCAGAGGAGGGAAGGAAAGAAGGAAGGAAGGAAGGAAGGAAAGAAGGAAGGAAGGAAAGAAGGAAGGAAGGAGGAAGAGAGGAGAAGAGAAGAGAAGAGAAGAGAGAAGAGAAGAGAAGAGAAGGAAGGGAAAGAAGAGGCGTCCAGAGGAGGAGAGGAGGAAAGGCAGGGCAGGCAGGAGAAGAGAGGACGGCACTCCAGCGGCAGCATCCAAAGGCCAGAGTGGGGACCCGTGCTGCCTCCGCCGCTCCTCGGATGGTGACGGGGCCCCGCCGCGGCCGCAGCCCCCCCCGCGCCCCGGCTCCGCAGGCCCGCAGCGCCGGAGCCCCGCAGGAATCATGCCCAGGTCCTTCCTGGTCAAGAAGGTCAAACTTGACACGTTCTCCTCGGCGGACCTCGAGAGCTCCTACGGGCGCGCCCGCAGCGACCTCGGAGTGCGACTGCACGAGAAAGGTGCGAGCCGGGCTGAGTCTGGGGGCAGCAAGGGGCCCAAGGCAACAGCTGGAAGGGGCAGAGGGCCAGAGTGTGGGGCTGGAGGGGTCAGGAGCCCCCGGAAATAGACCCGAGGGAAGCAGAACCAGAAGGAGGCAGTGGCTGGAACCGGACTGTGGAGGAGGGTGGGGAGAGGGGAAAGCAGAGGCAGGCCAGAACAGAGCCAAGACCCGGGCAGGGAGAGTGTCAGTGCAGGAGAGAAGGTGGGGAACAAAGGTCAGAAATAGAAAGTACCCCACACCTTGAGCATGCGAGGACATAGACAGTCATATGGGCACTTGCTGACATGACAGGACCTGGATGCATGCAAACCCACACCCAGAAATCTGGGCCTTCCTCAGTATCCTCTCTCTCTCTCTCTCTTTTGGCTATGGTTAGCAGAATGCTGTGAGTTCCAGGGAGTAGGCATGGGTCCAGTGGGGGCCGCCACCTGTCAGGACTAAGGTACCAGCAGAGGCAGCAGCAGTATTTCCCCTGCAACCAGGGTCAGGGAGGAGAATGTGAGCAGGAGGGTTGTAGGTAGGGAGGTCCATGGTGCTGGTGTCAGGGGGAGGCTCTTTGTGTAAGGGTGCCCAAGTTCAAGGACAACTGTTAGCATGCAGGCAAGAGAGCTGGGGGTGCCAGCAGCGTGGGGTGGCAGAACCAGTGTGACCTGAGCCTGTGTGAGCCTGTGTGTGAGCCTGTGTGCGCCCATGTGACTGCGTGCAGCCATGTGACTGTGTGCGCTTGTGTGTGACCCTGTATGAGTGTGTGCCTGCCTGTGTGCCACTACATGGGACCATGTGACTCTGAGGCTGCTGGGCACCCATGTGACTGGCGACCCTGGCTGAGAGTGTGTCCAGGGTGGCCGCATGTGTGACCCTGCATGAGTAGGTGGTTTGCCGGGATCTTCGTGCAACCCACCCTGTGAGGGCACTCCAGGGTTGACCGTGGCTGGGAGGCTGGGTGTAACCCTGAAGAAGCCAGAGGCTGCATCGTTCGGTGTGTGCATTTGTGACTCTGAGGCTGTGAGATTCATCTTGTGCCTTGAGAACAAGTGCAGTTACCAGCATGAATGATGCTGCCTGCCTGCAGCTTGTCCCACGGAAGGTGTCCCCTTGCGGAATGCCCCTGCACTCTCCAACAACACAGCGGCTCCCTGGTCACTTGTCCTGAGGCTTGGGAAGGCGCCCACAACGGGTTAGGGCCTGGGGGAAGAGGGCAATGTGTAGCAAGGTAGGACCCAGGGGTGGAGGATGACCGAAGGGAGCTGGGGAAGAAGGAGAGTGGATGGAGGAAGATAAGGCTGGAGCTGGAAGGGGGTCAAGTTCAGTGAGTAGTAGGAGACCTGGGAGGTAAGAAGGAGGGTGGAGAGGGTAGGAGGGCCTGCCGGAGGCAGAAGTCTTCAGGGCTTGTTGGGGGGCCTAGGGGACCAAGGAGGGGCAGCATCAAGGCTGGGCGCGAGTTCCAGGTGCCGCGGGGAAGAGCAGTTGGGAACCTCGAGAGGCGGGAGCTACGGGGTCCCTCGGTGGGCGGTCCTGGCTTTGTGCGCTGCGGGTCCGCAGTGTGTTGCATAATCAGGGAAAACTGCTGAAGTGGGGAGAACCCGAGGGGGAGGAGGGGTGGAAGAAGGAGGGCGAGGGAAGCGCCGCCCCTCCCCCCTGACCTTGAGGCTCCGCGGAAGGGGGGCAGCCGCACCCGAGGATGCGCCTCTTTCCCTCCCCCTGTGAGGGTGGGGCCGGCGGGCGGCGGGGGCGGAGCCGGGGCCCGGCCCAGTCTCATCTCTCCTCTCTTCTCTTCCCCTCCCTGCCTCCTCCGTCCTCCCGGCCCCGCGGTACCCCGGCCCCTTCTCCTTTGTCCTTCTTCTGGTCCCCTCCTTCCCGGACCCCGTGTCTCCCGCCGCCTGCCCGTGTGTGTCTCGCCCGCTGCCCGCCTCCCCTCCCTCTGTGTCTGCCTGTCTGTCCGCCTCGGCCCTCAGGATACCTCAGCGACTACGCGGGGCCCGCCTCCGTCTACGATGGCGATGCCGAGGCGGCCTTGCTCAAAGGGCCGTCCCCAGAGCCCATGTACGCGGCGGCCGTGCGTGGAGAACTGGGCCCGGCGGCCGCGGGCTCGGCACCGCCTCCCACCCCGCGCCCAGAGCTGGCCACAGCCGCGGGCGGCTACATCAACGGCGACGCGGCGGTCAGCGAGGGCTACGCGGCTGACGCCTTCTTCATCACCGACGGGCGCTCGCGCCGTAAAGCAGCCAACGCCGCCGCTCCCTCCACGGCCTCCGCGGCGGCTCCCGA